AATAAATCGGTTATATATTTAAAATTGTGCTTCAAAAAAAAATCGGGCGTTACTTTTGATGCCGACTGTACATGTACATGTATACTTTAGCAAATAAAAGATACGTACAGCATCATCATCATAGAATTTATTCATTTATGAATTCTAATGTAATTTGAGTTGAATTGTGATTTCAATATACGTACATGTACATGTGATTTCGTATTGTTTAAATTTTATTCTGCATGGTATAACCAGCCAGAAAGCTTTATAAATTATCGCAAAATCCCCTTTAATCATTGACAAATCTTTCAAAGAGAATCATATCTTTGTTCGAATGGGATCATCGGATGTCAAGATATCGGGTTCCAAAGTGACAAATTCTTTTTTGAAATTTCCGGTAATATATTAGAGGGGTGTGTGCTTTATTAAATAAAAAAATGCGGAAGTTCTACTACTATTATAATACATTATGCGATCCATTTGTATTATTTGTCTCTGATTAGATTGTAAGATGTAGTAGAAGTTCTGTGATTTAGATAATAACTATTTAATATTCATTATTTCAGAAGTTTCAAAAATAAAATTCTACGAGCCTGTATATCAGATCAATGCTAAGTCAAGATTTTTTTCAACGCCTATTCATATTGATACATTTTTCTTAAATTAAACTGAGGTTTGTTATATCCAAACTCTGCTGCTTTGAAAGCTATTCAAGTGTTTCACTATCATTTTTTATGTTTCTTCTCCGCAGTTATAATTCGAAAAAATTAAAAACATTAAACAAACTAAGACATATAAGAAAGTATTTTAAAACTTGTATTAATTTGGCACCGATTAGTATTGAATTTTGTTAAATATGATGATTTAACGTAACAAGTTTACGTCAAGAATTTCAGATACCCCAAGTTCAGGATATAAAATAGATTAGTAAAATTGGATGAAAATTAATAAGGTATAATAAAATTAATTAGGCTATATAATTTTTTACAATAAAAAATCCAAGATATCAGATTTGTCATTACAATCAAGAATGTCGTTGGTGTAGTCACGAATAAATCATATATCAAATTACCATCGGATCACGACGCAATCATTTATTGCTAATTTAAGATAGTAATAAGAGACCGATTGAACTTCATTGCTTATCTACTTTACTACATGAAAGAAAACTTTGTAACGTGTTAGTACTATTCTTAAATTATCTTTAGTAAACTTGATAAGCCCCCTCATTATTATTATCATTGAAAACAAGGAGAAAATTAAGTTTTATGTTGTCAATTAAAAGTTAATGAAAAAATACGTTTTTTTTAACAAAGGATTAAGAATGTCAGTACATTTCAAGTTAGTCTATTAGAATCATTTCCCAAGAAAAACTTGAAAAATTGTCCGTTTAATTAACAGTTTTTTTTTAGACTATGTTATGGCACCGAAAACTCCGAGGCTGTGTACATATCACATTAACGTTAATGATCAAATCCATTGTTGTTTTGATAATACATTCTCGTTAGCGTTAACCACAAAAAACAAAACAAAAATACCAAAGTTGCATAACGACAAAATAGATATGCAGTAAATCAAAAATCAATCATTAAAGAATAAATATACGGGCAATTGGAGCACAGTAATATCATGTTTCTTTCCACACTACTACAAAGGAATAACGTTGAAATGACACGTGTTGACCCTTTAGGCCTGTCAGATAGTCAGTATGCGAAGAAAGCGAGACGTTATATAGAAATTCTAAATAGGTTACGAGGTCATTGTGCTCAACAAACTGTTGATTTGCCGACTATTGCGTTCGTTGGTAATCAGTCCACGGGGAAGAGTAGTTTGTTGGAGGCCATTTCCGGTGTACAGGTATAAAAGCATACAATTATATTGTACTTATAAGCCAAATGAGTCTTTTGTAATCGAATATAATTAATAGCTGCCACGCTCAGACGGCACGTGTACTCGATGCGTCATGGAAATCCGCTTAATGGAATCAAAAGAGCCTTGGCAATGTCAATTAAAACTAAGAAGAGAATATGACGATTACGATGATAAAAAACTATCGCTCCCAGAAGAAAACTTTGGTAATCTTATCGAAGATTCAGCAGATGTAGAACTCAT